ACAAAAGACAGTTTTGTTAATGACAGCGTGGAATAGGACAGCCATAAATGCACTACGCTTTACTTGCTTGCAAATCAACGCGAAAAGGTCACTTAGTGCAAGGAAAATGCAAGACTGACAGAAATAATAGAGGGAAAAATTAGTGGCACCCTCTACACCCATTGCATAAAAGCATTAAGTGTACAATTATCAGACACATGGTTTTTTTAAAGCAAGAGGGCGGAGTCTATGAGACATGTACGATGAGACAGCACGATAAACATAACATTCAACAAGTGACAAAATAACTGCAGAACTGAAAAGAAAAAGAAGGAGCAGACCACGGAGCAACCACAAACCAACAGCTTCAGATCACAAGTTTCTCTGGTATACCCATATAAAAAATAAAAAAAGAGTAATTAAAAACAAGTTAAAAAAGGGAAAACAGCTACATTAAACAAGGAGCTGACAATGCTTCATGAAAATCTCTCCTTAGAGGAAAATTTAAGATTTGGGAAGGTTTCCTCACAACCCATTTTTCCAATTCTGAATCAAAATCTCCCCTTTTTCGTCACATTTGACACTAGATCAAACACATAGTATTGTATAGTATTGTGCTTGGTGATTCGATTCATTATAAATTTCAAGCAACCTAAAAACAATGCTAGTCATGCGCAAGTATTCCACAAACCAAGTGAAACTATTGCTTCCTAATTGATGGACAAGTCTGACTTGTTGGCACTACAATGACAACAATTTTTTTCAGGTGAACCTTGTAAAATGAAAAACACAAAACTAATAATGCCTCTCTATCTATCAAATATAAAAAGTTAAAAATCCTTCAGAAGAAACAAAACAGAACATCTGCCAACCACCAAACCTTGAACTCAATACGTATTTTAGCGGAATGATGTCGCAATATTACAAAATGTGTTTGATAACACGTTTTCAGTGACCCGATGGTGCATGCAATATGAACACTACAAGGCAACGCTGCAGTGAATAAGCTAACAAAACCCTTTTTTTCCATTTTGGTGCCAAACTTTGTTTTTTGCTAAACCGAGAGCCTGGTAGGTTACCCTACTTGTGTGAAAAATTCAAATTGAAACAGACTGGTTTTAGCATAAATTAGAATTCGAATTTCTGAATGACTTTATTTTTAAAAGATTACGCTAACCAAAAAACCCCTCTTTTTCTCGAAACTGCTTTTAAGAAAAAAAAGGCGCTTTGTCAGCTTACGGCAATGCTGGCTTGCAGGTCCAGCCTATGTTACAATTACCATCTGCTGCACTGCACTACCTAGTAATGTTTACAATCTAAACCATTCTGTTTGGGAATTTTAATATACATTCTGTTTGGGAATTTTAATATACGGTGTGAACAAGATTGAATTCCTCAAATATGCTCTCATGAGTGAAAACAAGTGAAATTGTGATTAAAAGATAAAGCAAACTTTCAGTAAGCACAAAAAAGACCATCTCAGATAAAGACACAATGACTGAATTAAAGATCAAAGGGAGTTCAAAGATGGTGCAAAAATAAAAGATTATCTTGTTTATCTCACTAGACTGTAATTGGTAGAGCCATAGTCACGCAGACACATTTCAATATTATCAATGAGATGAGATAAAAACTGGTGAATGATTCAATGATACTTGCTTTTGTTAAGAGAAGTGCATCCATACGATGACAGTTATTGTCAATAAAATTGTTTTATCCTGATGCCGCCACTACAGATAACATGCCGATCCAGGGACTACTAGTACTACTACAAAATTATATTGATGGCCAGCTAATATAATAGTGTACCTAACCCAAATTTTTAAACAATTCTATTGCAGTTTTTAAATCTTTAGTAGCATCTACTCAAGAAATATTTTGGTAACCAAAAAAAAATTAAAATGCATGTATATATATACAATTGTTAAAAGAATGAAATAGTTTTTCTCTCTCTTGATTGTAAATTAATTTGCAAAGGACAATCTGATGGGTTGCCCATTTAACCATTTATAAACCTTCAACACATTATATTTCTACTTCTTATGCTGCAATTTTTTCTTGCCTCCAAGTTCTACCCTCTTTTTTGAACACTTAGTAATTTGGAATCCTGCCGATAATAAATATGGAATTTAAAATGCATTTATTTCAAGGAGTTACTTTTCTTTCATTTATCAGAAAACTTAAAAGAGGCCTTGCAATTAATATTCTTGTTGACTGAATGCTCTTTAATGATACAAGTATAGTCTCCACATGGGTGTGAAAAATGGTGAGACAAGATTATATCAGACTTTGTTTGTTTAGACATGCTTTTGACTCTTGACTTAAATGTCTAAATTCTAATTCAGACCTCTGTTAAAAAAAACCCCAAAAACCTCCCACATCACACCCTCTTCTATAACCATAACCCTACCCGTTGTCGTGTTTTACTATTGTATCCATACGATGTGGGGAGCTCTGTGCCACCGCTTTCCTAAGAGGAAATTTACTCGTTAATCCGATCCGTACGCTTTGCATAGCAGTCTGTCAAAATGATTTTTTGAGAAATACTGAAAGTATCAAAGAGATCTTCACACTAGAAGTATTCTAAAATGCGAAGAATACAACCCCGGGGGTACAAAATGACCACAGAGCATACGGATAGGGATAAAATGTTATGTTTTATGTGTCTAAGTCATGGAATCCCTAGTCACATTCTCGAGGAACACAAAACTACTACTGTCTCAAGATCAACCGGGCACATTTTTGCATGAGTTGGAACAGAAAAGTTAGTTTATATTATTATTCCTTAATAAAAGGACACATGACAAAATGTGATAAATGTTGTCAGACCTCTTTCTTTTTTCATAAAACAATAAAGACCTTCCCCAGAATCTGAACTGAAACGACACAGTCAGAATGGAACTAAGTAATAATATAATAATTTATGAAAAAGGCCTGACGGGTAGGAAACATTTTGAAAACTTCAAAGGACATGCATGGCAAATAAAAATGCACATCAAGCCATTTATTGTTGAATGTAGATTACTGTGCTAACGGTATGTTTAAAGTACACCTTTGCTTTTCAGAGAATGTTAAAGAGCACATTGTTCTGTTATGCAGTATGTAAAAATAAAAAAAGGATACACTGGTAACAAATCAACAGGACCCTCAAATCAAAATCCCCGAACCCATAAAAACAAACAGCAATCTCAGTTAATAAATAAACCACAAACACTTTGACAACTTTTTAAAGTATACCACATGCGGTGTAAGACACTGGTAACATGATTAAATACAAAAAGACATGCATTGACAGTTTCCAAGTATTTGTAAATTGAAATAAGACTCATTTTGATGGCCAGAACTAAGGTGTGCTGGGAAAGAAAATCACAGTTCAAGACAAGGAAAAAATCATGTTTGTTATAATGTAACTGAGGAGATAGAGAGTGAGTGAGTGAGAGAGAGAGAGTGAGAGAAAGAGAGAGAGAAAAAGAGAGAGAGAGAGAGAGAGAGAGAGAGAGAGAGAGAGAGAGAGAGAGAGAGAGAGAGAGAGAGAGAGAGAGAGAGAGAGAGAGAGAGAGAGAGAGAGAGAGAGAGAGAGAGAGAGAGAGAGAGAGAGAGAGAGAGAGAGAGAGAGAGAGAGAGAGAGAGAGAGAGAGAGAGAGAGAGAGAGAGAGAGAGAGAGAGAGAGAGGAGGGGGTCCAAATTTAAATGAGAAAAATTATCTGGGTGAAGAAAATACACAAAAGAAACAACATGCAGGGAAACAAAATCGGAGTATAGAGATAGCACCCACATGCACACACCTTAAATTTACAGACCACCATGCCATAAAAATATGAGAGAAAAATACAAAATGCATGAGAGAGGATTTTTAAGACCCACAATAAATTTAAAGATAATCAAAACAGACAAGATCTACAATTATGGTTGCACCCACATGAAGCATGGATTTTCAACTACTACCATCTGACCAGGCCACCACCATTAGTCATTAGTATAAAGATCAAAAGCAAAGATATGTCTAATGACCATGCCATGGTACCACAGGTCATGTGATATCAGGCATGGTGTCTCTACTCTAATATTTATATGTAACATGCATGATGATGATGATGAGGCAACATGGATAATGGGTTGGAAAAAGCTTACTGCACTACCCTAAACATTTCCCAATAATCAAACACTCCCAGAAAACCATGAACATGATGATGATGAGTATTTGATGCCAAGGAGGAGAAACCCATCATGAAGCCACGACTATTGATTGAGCAACTGTCTCTAGATCTAGTCTCCTGACCCTTATAATAGAAAACTTTCCAAGGCTGAAGCCAAAAGTCTCAGTACTCTGTAGCTACTAGATTCTAGATCAGAGTCTAGAATCAGAACAACAATCAGACAGATCAAAAGCAAAATAATCTACTAACTCAGTATTTAACACCAGCTGACTAACTTGTGATACGAGTTGTTTGCCAATCTCTATTCTGCGAAAAGAAGCTTGCGATTTAAATTTGATCTATATCTAAAAGCCAAACTGGAAATGTGGAGCCTCCAGAGCTCTAATTTAAATAGTAACTCAATAGTTGAAACTGATACTCCCACTGACTCCCGACAGGGGCTCTCTCAGTGGTCCAAATTAGAAGACTTTTACAACATCCCTCAGCAGAGTTCCTGTCTAAAAGTTATTGTGGCCTAGAAGGAAAAGAAGGCCTACATTTTTCTCTCTTGACATCATACCGAAAATACGTCACGTATGATACTTTTTACACAAGAAGCATCAAATTGCTAAAATTGCAAAACTTGCATCCTATAAAGCATGAGCTTAGACTTAGTTGGGACACTAATCATCACATTCACTGGTCGGATGGGGGGATGGCAAAATGCAGGGTGGAACCTTGCACAAAACTGAACGACAGGTTACAGACACAAATAGGGGATTGCTGTATGGATAGTAATGAACTGAACAAAGATATAAGGGTGAAACTGATGGCAACAACAAACTTCGTAAAAATATAACGTGAACGACCAAATTCGGAAATTACCTGGTGTAAGGCAGTCAGTCCATCGACATTTGCTGTGTTGATGTCTGCTCCTCGTTCCAGAAGTTTTTTCACTTCTTCCCTGTCCCCACTTGAACAGGCAGCTAAAAATACACAGCCATCTTGAAATTTGACTTTTTTGTTCTCTCTCTTAGGTGATCCTGGCTCCAAATTAGTATCCGAATTTTTCCAGCGCTTTAATTGCTCGTGCCTTCGATACAAGGCACTCATTTGTTTCTCGTCCGCCATCATGTTTTGTCAGAATAGCCCAGTTGACTTCTTTCCTTACTTGACCCCAGGCGCCATCTAGTGCCCGTACAACCGGAAGTGAAGAGAGGAGTTTCAGAAGTTGTTGCCTTATTTATCTCCCAACAGCGTAGAAATGAATCTTGCATAAGGCCTAGGCCTAGGCCTATCTATACATTTAACACAATACTCACTTGGGAAAATAGTTAACAAATTTGAAACATTTTAAGAGAACAGCTAATAAAAAACATTTTTGAAAGTGCAGCACGGAACATATTGTACCAGTTATTCTGACTCACGATTAATTAAACGTATTAACGTGTATGCAGGCATCTAAAATAAAAACAAAAACAAACACCACCCCCTCCCCCCACTCCCACCCCCGTAATAAAACATACATAAACAGAAAAAGTTTCTACAGAATTACAAGTCATGATTTCTGCATTCATATAGACAGAATTAAAGGACCCCCTCCTTCCAAATTACACCCAACCACCCACAATCATTACAAATATTGTTGCCATATCACCATATTGGTATAGTTTATAGTGATCAAGATTATTATCATAATAGTTTTACTGTCATAATAAATAACATCATCAATCATAATTACCGTTAAAATCTCTATTGGGCCTATTATTATATCGTATATTATCCTACCAACATGTAAAATACTTAATATATAACTATTTTTATGTACGTGTACATACAAAATAAATGTATATAATGTATATGGTTGTGTGTGTGTGCATGCGTGTGTGTGTGTGTGTGTGTGTGTGTGTGTGTGTGTGTGTGTGTGTGTGTGTTTGAAGTAGATTGAAAGATGGGGAAAGTGATTATAGAAGTTGAAAATACCCGTAGGACTATTGAAAGAAGACCATGCAAAGGAAATCTAATACAGAGAGAATGTTATTACAATGGCTTGGAAAGACAATAGAGCAGAAACATATTTGCAAAGACCACTAAAGAAAGCAGTTGGAGAGAGCGAACAATTTCTTCATCTCTAAATGTTACAACACAACAGATAAAGAGTAAGAGGAAATACAAGTAGTGCAATACCTAATACACATAATAATTATCATTTTATAGGTATGTGTACATTCAAAGTTCCTGGAAAACTTTGGAGCTTGGATAGTGTCGTAAATTTTTAATCGTTTGTTCAACTGCTAATTTCGCAAAGGTTAACAGTGTTCTTCTACTTTGAACATTCAAAGAAAACAATCAGAAGAAAAATAAATGTTTGGATTTTTTTTTCGCAGCTCTCGTGGAAATAGTCCCAACACATCCTGAACCAAGGGAGGCTACTACAGTAATTTACCGTGCGTGTGCCTAATTATTTCCTCACTCCTCACAACAAACTGTGCACTGTTGAAAAGGCCTAGGCCTAGAGAGCGAAGTTGACAAAGAGAGTTTCTGTTGCGATATCTTTAAATTTGATCTTTAGAGAATCTATATATCTAGATATAGTATTCGTGTCAATTTTCAGTACATGTTAAAGAGCAGTCACTGTTTTGTTTTTGTTCGTTTTTAACTCGGTGAGTACGAATATTTAAACCATGAGCTCTGCAGGCCCTGGAAAGGAAGATAAAAACAAGAAGGACGCCGACGCTGTAACGTCAACGGTAACGGTAAGCTGATTTAGATTCCAAATATACCAGGTGCCCATTGCTGATTGGATTGGGTCGGGTCGGGATAATCACCTGACTCATCGCCTGAAAACAAACGAGTTTGTTTTTGAGAAGATGAGTCGGGCGCGATGGTGGGCTTTTCCCACGATGAGGAATATATTAGCCTAGCCGTTTGCGTCCTCAATCTGGCTATCAAACCAACCCGACCCGACCCGACCAGGCCTGATTCCCCAATGGGCACCCCATATTATTATAATCTACTATCTAGCCTGTCTAGCTCTTGGCCAGGAGGTTTATTCTCCTTAAAGCATCACAGCATCTTCTAGATTTCACTTTTTGGTTGTTTTTTGGCGGGTTTTATGTCTGTGTGTGCATGTATGTGGGGTAGCTAGTCATTTCGTCACACGGTCATCTCGTCACACCCCAATTATGTGTGACGAAATGACTTCGCTGATATAGATCTATATAGGCCTTGCTCTCCAAACTTGTTGTTGCTAGTACAGAGTTTTGGAGGATCAGCCTAAGAGTAGGAAGCTTTTTTTGAAGTTATAAATGTGTAAATTAAATCTTCATCCAAACTGTTCCATAGTTGAACATAATGTCTGGTAAAGAGTTAATTTAAAAGGCTTTATGTTTGAAAGTAAGGATCTAGCTTATAAAAATCGCAGTGCGTACCGTACTCTTTTATTAGGTTTATTTTTAACAGAACTAATAATATGGTCTTGCCAATCACACCTTTCATCAATAATACCTAAAAACTTTGTTGATCTGACTCGATATTTCAATATTGTCAAGAAGTATTTATAAACGGTGTAGCTGATCAAGTAGGCGTGACGACTCGCACAGCCGTCTCCCACACCCCACACACAGCCCTAATTCTCCCCAAAAAATCATGAGCGATTGCCATGACAACGTGTGTTTGTTCTTTGCAAGTGTGTGACGAAATGACCGTCTCCATTCAACCTTGTGGATATGGGATGTGACGAGATGACTGTGACGTCTTGACTGCACCGGTGTGACGAAATGACTGGTTTTCAGGGGGGATGTAATAAAATGACATTTATTGAATAATTTTCTTTTTAAAATGGCATTGCAGACTTTTATTTTATGAAATTTGATTTTTGAGTCTGAATTGAACATTCTTGAACAGTTTAGTCTATAGATGAGAATGTCTCTATAAACTTCTTGATGTTAGGAGACTTCTGTGGATCCATGGAATACGCAACAATCCATCGATTGTTGCGCATTCTGTATATATCGGTGGATCGTGCAGCGCTTTTTGTGGATCCGTGAATACACAACAGATCTGAGAGATCTTTCCCGAGTGTTGGGTGTTAACATGATCAGATGATCGTCCATATCCATATATATGTTAACATTCCACTCTAAGCGAAAGTTTTTGTCAAATGTATTAATGACTACGTAAATAACTTACCTAGATAGTTTAATCTAATTCCTCCTCCTCAGGCAGGTGTCAGGCCTGGAGCAGGCAACAAAGACCACAAGTCTCGAAGACCATCAAAAACTCAAATGTGGCATCCTATCTGTTTTAAACAGATAAGATGCCACATTTGAGCTTTCTAGTCTTGTTGTCATGTGTGTTTCCGTCTTTCTATCGTTTTAATGATACCGTGTAATTTTCATGATGACAAAGAAGAGAGATGTTTATTCCTTTGGTTTTCTTTCATATATGTCTCTTTTTTTGGTCATTATCATGGTTTACTCAAATTACAGCTCATGTGTGTCTAACACATTTTTCTACCCCAGAAGTGTTCAAGATAGATATCCATGCTCGACTATGCAGTCTGGCATGCACATAACAAACATGCATATATATATTGCGAAAAACACACACAAGGAACAGATTTGCAGGTGTTAAATCTCTTCTCATATATTTTTTTGTATTCAAAACATGCAAACAGTGAAGACTATAGTGAAAAAAGCTGCATAGCAAAGGTAGATCTTATTAAACACAGTCACAAATTTCTTTTACCATAGTAATTATTATGAGAGAGAGAGAGAGAAACGAGCACAGAAAGAGTGTAGAAGGCCAAAGACCTTTCTATAAACTGAGAGCAGTAGTGTCTAGTAGGCCAAGGACTATATTTGTTGTATGTCACAGGTACAGAAATGTTCAGCAATAAATTTAGCCTTCACACTTCAGATGTGTGTTGGGAGTCTGTGGTTGCGTGAAGGCAAGTGTTTGGTGTTGTCCCCACGTATGTCAGAGTCAGAGCTTTTCTCCTCAACAGTGATTACACACCATGCAACAGCTTGCCAGTGTTTTGCAAAGTTAGGTCTGCGTGAAGTTTTATCAGATAGTGGACCATAGTGGAGTAAAACAAGCTGAAAGGCTTCTTGGACAAGGAAAATCTGCTGGTCCGTACGAAGGTGGATTTAAAAAATCAATGTCAGAAACCCAAATTTGCAATAAGTTTAATGAAGTGACAAAACTATGAACCCAACGCTCATGTTGGAATGGCAGAATCTTGGTATAATTCGTATAAAATTTTGGCCCAGTTGTCCAACTTTGTCCATTTCCTTTGATATTATATATTATTATAACATGAAATTCATCAAAATTGATACACAACGAAAAGATTTCCATGTCCCGCTGACTTATTATGTCCGACGTCCGTGCTAGGCTGTACATATATTCCATTTTGTAGTTTGCTTTCTCTTCAATCAACGACTGTAGAAAAGAATAAAATATACAGGAGGTAATACTGATTGAAAGATGTAGAAATAGTACACATGTGAGTACAAACGTGATGTATGCCTTGTTATGTTTTTTGTTTGTTTGTTATATATATATATTTTTTTGGTTACTCTTTTGAAGATTCTTGGAAATTTGAGATAGCCATTTTATATTTCATATACAGGAGGTTCACTCTGCTAATAGCTGGGAAACTGCCGACCTTGGTGACTCCCAGCGCCATCAAAAGTTTTTAAGACTCATGGGAGCCTCAAAGGTAAAAGAAAGCTAAATTATATAGAAATTAAAAGGTATGTACAGTAAAACTGTAATATGTTGTAGACTTATCTTTTTGAGACTGGAAAAAATATGTTTGCTTTAGAACAGACCATGATACGTATACCGGTGGTATTCATTGGAAGCTGTCCTGCTGTCACTTGGGATTTAGAATGTATTTGACATAAATGAATATTATAAAAGTATTCTTTTATCTCTGCTTAAACCGAATTCTGTGGGATCGTCAGATTTTCTTCGGTTTTGAGAGGGTTGCTCAAATATAGAACAAAAATGGGGGACTTTATTTTCAGTTTAAGTGGACTCTACTGTATATTTTGATTTTTACAAAATATTCCTAATGCCATCTTGAAGACTAATTCTGACTCGCTCAGTAATGTTTTCCATTTTGTTTTTAAGGGCATGTAAGAATGGAATACTTAACATAAAATTTCAAGCTGATGGATTTTTGTTTGAAGTTTTTCCCTGCTGCTTTGTAAATGACATTTCTCATATGATAAAAGCTAATATTTTAAAATTATTTCGAACATTAGCAAAGCTCAACCTCATGATTGCAGAGATACAGCACTATTTTTAAGGTGGGTTGAAACCTTGTTACCTTACCAGTTAGCCACTGATTAATTTTGAGCATAAAATTGAACCTGCTCCAACTACATGTAGTCCAACAACATCCTATCCAAGACAACTGGATTGATAACGACATAACAACATCCCTGACAATCACTTGTTCCAACAACCACTTCCTATTTCTCCTCTTGTGGGTTTTTGTTTGTTTGTTTGTTTGTTTGTTGTTTTTAAAAAGAAAATTTTTAAACATTAAAATCTGTCTCAGACAGCCACTTTTTTCTTAGACAATGGTTGGTTGTCTTGTACAAGATTTAGTCTTGTATTTTTCTTTTCCTTTCTGTATATTTCCCACTCCTCCTCCATTTCATTTAGCAAGCCATCCTTAGTTCTCAGAGTTCTAGTACAATTTTCTAACAGATGTACGTGTAGTTCTTTTGTTGAAGGAGACAAAAGCCACTGAGGTGAGTTAATATCTTGTATGTTTGATAGTAATTAAAAAAGGTGTCATTTTGTATACCAAAACAAATAATCTACGGGTACTGTTGCTACTCACTCTTGACTGGATGCTTTTTATCTTTATCTTTCAGAAAGAACATCATGGAAGATTCGTCATTGGAGACAACAGTTCCTCTCAAACAAGAACTAGTAAGCTACAGTTACAAGTTTTTGTCCATATGCATGTTGCTGATAGTTTTGTGGGCAAAAAAATTATATATATATACCTTCACATTTCTTCATATTTATGTATTGTTAAATTGTTGGGAAGCCCAAGTGGGCTGCTCGATTATAAAAACAATCGGTAAAAGACTAATGCAATTTCTGGGACACTTGAATAGACATAAAGGACTTGAACATCTAGCTCTCATTGGCAAAATTATGGACAAAAGAAGCAGGGGTAGACCCAGAGTAATCCACTTGAAGAGCCTAAACAGATGGGTGGCATGAAAAGATCGGGATAATGTAACTTTTTGAGAGCATCCAAGCAAAGGAATGTATGGACCACTGATGTCAGTCGCAGATCTAGCACCTGATTATGATGATCATGAAATTGTTGATCACTTTCCTATTTTAACAGAATTTATGTATCTGGGAAGAGGAGCAGGTGCCCTCACATATTATATTTTAGGGCTTAAAATAGTTACTTTTTGTTGGTTAAAAATCATTTGAGGAAGTCTCATAAAGCCCAGCCCAACTCTACTCAGTCCCATCAGACTAGGTGTGTCTTATTATGTTTTCAATGCTGTGAAGGAAATATTAGCCGTTTGACTCAATTGTAAGTAGGCCTATTTAATTTTTGTTCATGTTAACATAATATTTTAAGCTGTTTGATGCAACTTAAAATCCTAGGTTTTGTCTCCTCCTAGACCTTACTTGCTTGTAGATATCTTTCAATTTCAGTTGTATTGGTCTGTTCTTTGCTTAGTCAATCAATCCCTTACACCTTTGTCTCATCTCGTTGTGAAGTGATTCAGGTGAGCCGTTCTCTGCGAGTAAGTACTGAATGTACATTCACACCATTTTCTTTTTTTGTTTGGTTTTGTAACAGAGAATGACACAGGACAGCTGAACGAGGAACTTGTTGAGCAGTATGAGCAGAGTATGGAGCATCGGTTAGCCGGAGGTCGCAGAGGTCACCTGGGTCTTGGATATCATCCTGATGATAATGAGGAGAAGAAGGAAAATGACGAGGAAAAGAAACAAAAGGATGAGGAAGTTCGTGAAGTCCGTGGGGAAGCCGATGGTGCTGCGGACTCGGACTCGGGGAAGGACAGCATAGGGTCAGGGTCGGATGAAGACAGCAACGGTAAAACTGAAAAGAAGGAAGGGGAAAGTGCAGCCTCCAAACACAAAGACGAGTCCAGTGGCGATGGTGGGGATCGTAAAAGAGAAAGTTCTGATAAAAGTTCTGATACTCAAGAGAAGAAGCTGAAATTTGTTAAAAGTAGCTCATAATTTGAAACTTTGATCACATGTTTTTGTGAATGATTGAACTGATGCAGTCTGGTGGAAAAGGAGTTTGAGAGGAAAGTCACAGGTAATTATTTTTCTGTCTTTGCAAACTGATAATCACTAATCCTTTGTTCGATAGTTTGATAAATAGACATTGTTTTATTGTTGGTTTAGCTCTTTAAAATACCAGTCTCCCCTTTGAGCAGAGTTTTTAAAAGTTTTTCAAAGCACTCGATCCTTTGATTCCTGTAGTTTAAGTTATTCAACTGTGAGGTTATCTGTATATGAGGTCTTCACAGTTTTGATCATTTTAAGTTGCTCTGCCCCAAAAACAACCTTGTTCCTCGGAGTTAACTTTACACAGTAACTCAGTGTCGGCTTATACTTTTTGCCAGTTATATTTTATGAGGACTTAGCTTATTGCATTTTAGGAGGTTGTAGTAGAGAAAGGGTTATTCAGATAGTATTTTGGAAGTGCAACTTTGCATTTGTTTTATTTACAATAATCACATGTTTTTATCTGAATATTCTGAAAGCATCTTGTCAGATATACGTGCACATGTTCCCCGAGTTGTTTAAAGGGATGATTTATCCCTTTATTGGTGATGAACTGGTACTTCTTTTTTATTTAGTCTTGGTGAAAGGATGATGTTCCTTGTACCTTTTATCATTTAATATAATGTGCGGAAAGAGTGTAGGTATTTCACAAATTGTAATTGTACAATTTGGGTGTGTTTCATCAAAAAAAAAGGTTGTGTATATGTGCTCAGTACTGGTTCCCCAGTGGAGGAGTACTTGGGAGGCTGGGCCTCTGATCTAGTCCATATCTCTGAAAGGACCAAGCCATGTGGATGAAGAGCTGTGCAAACTTCTCAACATATATAGTGGGTGGTTGGTGGGGGCTCTTGTGTGGTTTGCTCCTTCTTTCCTATCAATTATCTATCATCATTATCTCTCTCCTCCTACTTTTTAAAATTTGTTACTCTCTAGTAACACCTCTAATCTTTGGCACTTATAAGACATAACTGAGTTGCGAGTGTTGCAAAACTCGTTCTGAAATGAAAGTAAAATCTCAAAAAATAAAATCTAGATTCAGGAATGTCTCTCTTATGATTTGATTCAGGCTGTTGTACACCATAGTCCATCGTGGTGCTGACAGACTTGCGAAATACTCAGATAGAAGAACCCTATCTGATTTGCATAAAATTCAATTTTTAAATGAAATTCTGTTTCCCACAGTTGTATGGAACTTATCGAAAATTACATGAACATACAAATTCTTAGTTTTGTATATTTGTGATACATACGTTTATATGTGAAAGGTTATGTTCGTAACGTAATCCTAATCTACTGGGGTTCTGGAGACTCACATTTTTTTAACCCACAAACTCTGATTTTTTGGAAAGATTCTGAGAAAAATTATTTTCGGTCATGGAGATGTTGGCAGGTCTAGTCTGTGCTAAATGAGCTCAGGACTTTTGTTTTTGTGTTACAAATACTGTCAAAATTGTCTGCCGCCCATTGTCGAGGTAAAAAGTGAATGTCTTAGACAGGTGGACTTCTAGAACGGTGTCGTTATAATATTTTTTAAAAACATCGCATGAGGGGAAATAGAAAGTGGTTGTTTGAACAGGTGATTGTCTTGGACAAGTGGCCGTTTTAGCAGGGTCGACTGTATGGAGTTTTGTCTTGTAATGTAGCACAGTAGCTCAAAGTATAATATATATATATATATATATATATATATATATATATATATATATATATATATATTTATATATATATATATATGAGATTATGAGAATAAAGAGTGCATGATGTTGATGTAGGCAGCAAACAAAGAGTTGATGATTTCCTTAATAATTGTATTAAGTCCTTGTTCCATCAGTTGCTTTGAGAAAGATGTGTGTGCTGGCATGCTGGTTCTGTATTTTCATCTACCTTTTCATTCTTGTAAATGCCAGGAGGCTGTGTGGATGTAAGAAGCTGAATCTGAATTGCATTATTGTTTTATTTTCAGTATTGATGTCGGGTTGTTTGTATGTACCTTCCATTTACAAATGGACTTCCATTTTTATAGAATGACTTGGAAGGGTTATTGTAGACTACTTATGTTTCAATACAGAAGGCATATCTTTCATATTGTGGAAATGTCTAGTTGAAGGAAAGGGGCAAGATATTCAAGGGATATATATATAAAAAGCAGGTTTAACCCCAGTGTTTTACTAATCCCTTTTTTTTTTCACTTAAAAAAAATAATTATTTGGCTCAGTGTGAAAACCGTGGCAGACTAGACTGGCAGTGACCAATTCAATTAAGGAATGATACTCGCACAATGTGATTACTGTAAATGAAACTGAATGCACTGTACCAATTTCTTCAACTGAGTCTATGTGTTACCAATTTCTTATTGTTCCCATTCACATAAACTCAACATCCTCTCAGTTAAGCTATGACACATTGTTCAATGGTTATATAACATTCAAGCGTTGTGCCTTTTAGTAAGAGTAAGACCATTTCAAGTGACTTACTAATAAACGCACACCCGTTTTCCTCTTGAAAGTTTCAATCTTGAACTTCAAGGGAAAAAAGTAATTCCACATGCAGTGATTTTAAAAACTCTTCAGGTATCTAGCAATCATGAACAGTGAAAGTGCAAGCTTTTGGAGTTGAAGTAAAGACAGATGAGTTGGTGCTTAAAAACTGCATGTGCCATGCTTGTAAATTATGTCTTACTTTTGAACAGCCTGCAGGATATTAGGTGAATTAGAACAATAGTACGCTTCATTGCAGGTTTACTGACTGTTATATAATATTGTCGGTGACGTGGCGAGAGGGAGAGAGGTTTTTGTAAGTTTTATCTGTGTTACAGTTTCAAGTCGAGAGGAGAAGGTGGAGATGCTTCATTGAAGATGAAGCACTGTGTAGAAGTAGAAGTGAATATTTGTTAGGTCTCACAGTTTGTAGTAAAAAACTGATGAATGTTGTTGATGAAGACCCTAACTCAGATCTAAGCTTCCAGAGTTTGAAAAAGATAGTTTTACAAGGAGAGAAGATAGAAATGTTGCCCTAGTAACCGTAAATTCTTGGTTTCATACCCTTGAAAAATCTGTTGTTACCAAAATGTGTGCCATGTAGTGTTTTTCTTTAACACCATCAAATTTTGAAGAAAAAAATGGTGTTAATTCTATTTTTTAGTGACTAGTTTGCGGAGAATATGATATTTTCATGCAGTTGACAACTTGTCACATGTAGAGATCAGAATTTGTTCTCTAAAATGTGTCGTGTGAAAGAATAGGACCATGATAGATCCATTTTGTATATATGAGAAGGACATTGACAAAAAATGTTAGTGTAAGTGGACTCCACTTTCATAATATTTGACATGCATTTGACCTCTCTTGACCTTCCTTTGGCTCAGTCACTTTTCGATATTATGGCGTTTTATTATGTTTATATACATGTATACTCCGCACAAAGTATGCCATGTATCAGGAAAATTGTTCATTATTTTGAGGTAAATAAATGTGTCACTTTTGGTCTTATCTTTGTCTTGATATTTTCTTGTCCATGTTCTGTATAAATGTAAATGAGGACTCAAGAAAATGACATATTACTACTGTCTTGTTGGTAGTCAGGAATGTCTACTGGGCCTATGGACATGATACGTTTAGAGGGTGGTTGGCAGGTGTTTTGGTGTGGGCTGCTTCTGCTTTCCTATAAAAAAAATTTCGTTCTTATCTCTCTTCCTTCTTTATTGTGTTTGTTACTCTCGTGTAACCCCTCAAATCTGCGTCACTTATATGACCTTATTGTGTTGCAAGTGTTGTATTGTAAAACACTTCACTTACTAAAACAATGACAAGTTTAAACACTGAGTTTTTACTCAATGCCAATTGTCGCGCAAAGTAGAGAGGATCACCCCAAAAAGATACAGGTGGAGAGCCCTTCGTCAGGGATACCGTTTTTCTGATGATTTTTTTTTCCATTATTTTCATGAAATTTGTTTTCAAAACAGTTACTATTTTCAGCATTTCTTTTCTGCTTTGTCCCATACCAATTGTGTCTATTACCTTTCTTATTGTTCGCAAACACAACTTCATAAATATGCGCGCATGCACACACACACACACACACACACACACACACACACACACACACACACACACACACACACACACCGCAGGCCACAAGAAGCTATTTTTATGGAAAATCATTGGTCTACCGTGGAACAGATCTATAATATATGCCTAAATGAATGCTAATTCAAGTTGTCAAATAAAAAAACAACAACACAGAAACCGTTTCTAATAAAGAGTTTGTTTTATTAACCTTTGTATCACATTGTAGAGTAGTGGTTCTTTCCCCCCTCCACTACAGCTATGCTACATCACACACATCTGCAGGCAATGTTGAGTCCAAAAATTGCACAGTTAGCAATCATTATCATCATAACATCATAGTGGTAGGCTAGAAAGATCAACTCTACGAGGAGGAGCTTGCCTCTTACTCAGTCTCCCACAACAGCTGAGACTAAATTTGAATAACGATGAGGGTGAAAATAAGAATGAATGAACGTATCATGTTGAGACTATCTCTGTTTGGGCTAGACGTCGACAGCCCATGAGCTGCAGACTTGATAACAATATGCTACCTTAGAATTACAAAAACTTCTGACATTTTTGGCCGTTCTGAGTTACTGAGACCATGAGGTCAGAAACCAAAAGTTCTATCTGTTCTATCAAAATCACATAGACTATTCAGCCATTATCAAATATTCAAAGAAATGAATTTGAAAATGTCTGACATTTTCTTAAACTCAAAATCTTTTACGTCAGATTAAAACAAACTTGGCACGAGCTGATACATGTAGAACTTTGTAATTCTAGGGTACCAAATAGTCTGAATGCATCTAAAAAGAATCAGTGCAATGCACCGGTTTCAGATGAACGTACATGACTGAATTAGAGTTTAAAGTAATACTCTAGCAATACATAGGTATTTTATTCCAATTCAGTTTAGTCTCACCAGAACATTTCATATAGAACATTTGAAGGCAAGAATGTCAAACTTAATTGATACCTTACACTCGACATCAATGCATTTCCGGTCTGAAAACCCTTTTAATTTTATCAAATCAAGCCCATGTTAAGCCCCACCTATAAAATAAGAAGAACGAATTGTTGAAGATATTCTGACAAGACAAATGCTCCGGCACAGTGCAAACACTTTATATTAATATTAATAGTAGTGTTTTCACAATCTAAGAGTAAAAGATAAACTGACGAAGGAAGTTGATACAAAGTTCACATACACATTATTTAAAAGATGATACACGTACACATTTTTAACATTTTGACTTAAAGACAGTTCACAATGGGTTTTCATAACAACCTGACATGAACCACAAACAAAACAAAATATCCCTCCCTGATGATTCTCCATACATGACACAAACATGACGTTTTCAAATTTATTATTAAGATGATGAAAAATGCTGTCTTTTGGTTAACGGAAAATGGAAACTGAAATGGAGATGAAGAATTCTGACAATGGGTACTGACACGAGAGGTTCTCTGCGTAATAGTTGGTGCTGCTTAAAGAACCACAAAAATCTTCTAGTCATTCATGAGGCTGCATGTTTAAGGGGAGACATCACTGAAGCAAAACTTTTTTGCATACAGTTCTGAGTGATTTCTAGGTTTAAAAAAAAAGAAATAACTATTCATTTTTGCAACTCGGTACCTGTCCAATGTGTTAACATATTTTTTTTTCATTCAAAGATTTTAAAAATTGAAAAAACAATATTTTACCACCAACTTGACTAACAGAATTATCCGAAAGCCATGCCTCCCCTTCAGGTTGCAAAATAATGGTGAAACAAAAATACCTTCTACAACATCTGAAACCACAGAAAATATATGATAAATGTATTTGTCAACTGACTGGCAAGCAAGGTTAACAATCTATCTTGAGCATCGTTATAACAGAATCCAAACTGAACTTGAATGGTAAAAAAAACTTTTCTCATAAATGAAGAACAATTGAAGTGAAGGCATAACTAAAATACATATGTAGTAAGTGAAGACAATAAAACCAAATCGGACCAAATTTGTTGGAAATGAGAAAATGAAAATGCATAGTTCGAAGATTACTTGGCAGACATAAAAATTTTACTTTCTTTCTTCTTTAAAAAATACTTTAAAATTATTCTTCCTTTCACCATTGCAGTATGTAAGTTAAAATTGTGAGGAGGGAATCAAAGAGAGGCAAAATAGTATTTCATTTACCATAAAATGTATGAACAACACAGTCCGTGAAACCTCCACTCCACTTTTTAAAAACCCAAAAGCAACAACCTCTTCAGTTACGTGATACATTACAGCATTTACTTCCCTGACAGTGACATACAGCACGTCTTTTTTTCTTGGGTTTACCCAACCACAAATAACAAACAGCTGTTTTATTTCTTCTGACCAAGGGACAACAATGTTATCAAAATGTTCACTCTTCTGAAAAAATATAATTTTTTGGGCTTATAGGTTTCTACAGATATGGGCAGTTGATGTGTACATTGATTTAAAATGTGAAATGAACACAACACTGCTTTTGTGTGTGAGTGTGTGTGTGTACGTGCACAGAAATTATGCAATTAAGCTTGAAGAGACTTGCAAAATATGACAAAGTACCACAATTCTGACAGGAGAGATGAATGCCCAACAAATAGATCAAACCAAAATTGATAACCCCTTGTTATTTCATAACCTAAACAGTTTTCAAAAAGAGACCTTAACTCAGTACTCATACGTCTTTTGCACTGAAATGAACCTAAGAGAGTCACGGTAAAAAAAAATGCCATTCCCCCTCCTCAAATGCTACTGACAGGCCTACTGTCATAATATAATATAAAATTTTGGTTGTTTTTTGTTCGGTTTACCCCAAGGGATCTGATCATACATCTCAGCATTCCCTACCTTCACCCTTCTCCACACCAGATGGTCAGCCAGCAGTTAAGACACACAAAGCCCAAAATTTGGAAAATTCATTTACTTTCTATTGCGGTTTCTTAATCTGTAGTATATCAATTGCATAGTTTCAAGAAATACTTTGTCACAATTAGAATTCTAAATGTTAAAAAGAGCAAGAGAAAACAAGATAATTTCAGTAAAATTGTTAAAAGAATGAACTATTTTTTTTCTTTCACCTGAATAATTTTGCGTTCTAAGTTTCGTACATTTTAATAACATGTCAACAAAATGTTTCAGCACGATGTGGTGTAAATCCAGCAGTCAGCTGAAGGGTGGTGGGCAGATACACAGGTCCAGTCAGTTCAGAGGACCAAGACTCAAAGAGTAAAAAACTAAACAATACTTTAGACATAAGCAAATTAAAGTTTCAAATACTGAGTTGTGGAAAGAGCCTTTGTGATTCCACCTGAACATATCACAGCGCCAGAACTCAGCAAATATATATCAGCAGTCTATGGTAGCATATCAGAAAATCGGACATACTAGATATCACAGATGATAAATATTCAGAATCATAAATCATAACCTTTCAAAGTCAAAGAATTAATGAAATTTCTTTTTACTTAAGCTCCAAGAAATATTGCTGCCCTGTATCTGAAAAATATTGTGCATATATTTTTAAATACTTATGCATTTTTTAAGAAATGCATGTCAGACCGAAGGGCTAAAACCCAAATGGCCGCTGGATTGGAAAAGTAAGAAATGCATATAATCTATAGGAACATTTTTTTTTCTTCTTACAAAAACTGGATAGACTTTAAAAAGCCTGGGTCTTAATGTATTTTCCAGAACAAAATGTTAAGAAATAATCACACCTTAATACAGGTGTAACTCAGCAGTTTGGCTTCAACAAAGCAGATACAGGCCAGCACAGAGAAAGAAAAGGACGCTGACGCAAGAATGTAAAGCAGATGATAAATCAAGAGTGTCATATTTCATGACATTATACAAAATCCCATCTGTTTTTCTGAAGGAAAACCCCACAAATACAAACCTCATATAATAATAAACACTTCCTTGAAAAGAAAAAAAACAACAAATAGCCAAAATAGTGCCAGAATCTCATGTACCCCAACAAAAAGTAAGAGCGAATAAATCCAGTTCAGGAATATACCCACTTAAAATGTATATGTTGTAGGTTGACACAAGAAAAATCTAAAACAGAGAATAAAAGACAGTATATTATCATACGACACTGCATAGTTAGGCAAACCTCTGTTCGTCTCATGTCTTCTGAATACTGAATGTTTTTACGGGCAACGAAAGCGATACATCATATTATATCACAAAGTTGGAGATGACTACATTGTTGTCTACATACTTTGCACACACTAGAAACAGGACTAACATTGGTTGAAAAGAAAAAAACACTCCCTTAAAATTGTTACTTAGTAAAAAGATATTTTAGAACTAGGCATGAAATATGAAATGTACACTGAAATATATAAATCTGAGATTCAATCACTATTTGAATGTTGAATCCTATTTGGTGTATTAAGTCCCACTTTCTACTAAATTCTTATTCTTAAAAAAAAAATGTTTTAAAAGAAAGAAAAGAAAAGGAAGATCTAAGAAAAATGAAATCGAACTCAGGAGTGCTAACCCTAAAAATGAATTTGCACACAAGAATAGTTTTTACAAACACACAAAACTGTAGGCCTATATCACAAGCAGTTAGCTTTTGACCCAGCAGTTGCACATCATTCTCAAATGCATAGACAGTGCGTGACAAGTCATACTTGAAGCCATAATAATAATAATACTCTCGATTTTGAGCTTGAAGAAATTGGAAGGACTTTCACAAAAAAGTTACACAACTAAATAATCAGTTTTTGGATTCTCTCACAAAACGCACATTTTGGACTTAAGGCAGTATCATTTCTGGGAAGCAATGCATAGCGACAATTTAAACTTTGGAATGGACTCGATCAAAGATACAGAGGCTGGCCGTCCTGTCAAAAAGACTCGAGAGTCTATGGTAACGGAGGAGAAAAGCACAATATAATTGCGAAACAGCTGGGCCTCATCAAGTAAGAAGACAAAACTTTGTTGAGCAAGAAACATTTTAAAACATATTACAGCACTTTCGCACATACCATTAGTCCATATATACGTATAGTTCTCTACAATCTTGACACTGAAGTACAGCATACAAATGATAAATTCAGGAACTCTTTCCTATTCCTAGGCATCATCAAGGGATACCAAAGGAAAATATCTTTCTTTTTTCCTGAAGAAACCCAGTTCGTAAAAATAAAATTCTTACAAAAAATCGACTCAGTTTTCAAAGTGTTCAATATCATCCTTTCCCATTTACATAATTTCAGATAAAAATTTAGACATGAAAACGAAGGGAAGCCCACACATGTGAAAACAAGCAATATCATAAGTCCACTTTCCAAAGTCACCAGTCTCTCTAAGATTCTTTATTTTACTCTATCATTATCATCGTAATGTTGGCTATAATCATTCATGTGTCTTTAGTTCACAGGTACATTACATAAATATTATTCCCACACCATACCGAAACGACCAGTACGTCACGGTGAAACATCATAGGAGGTTAACTCATCTCATACAGGCCCTGATTGTCTACTCACTGAGGTACATAACTGTTCACTGTGACTAAAAATCCAACCATTCTTAGGTATGATTGATAACATCAAATGCTTCGTCTTCTAAGGAAAATATAATATTCAGTTACATGTGTCAAATAAAATAATTATCTACAAACACCACACCGTTTGTCATTGCTTTTATAATTGAGCGATTATAACCTCATCATATGATTCACAAGAATTAGCATCCTGCAGTGTTTCAGAGTTACTATAGATGTGTTCTTTCAGCATTTAGTGCTTGCTGATCCTGTGTTTTTGCTGAAAGAGACTATGCCATCCATGACCAGTGTGGCATACGCATCAGAGGTGGCGAGTTACATAATTTTCTATCACACTAGTGGAAGAGTAGGCCTGCCTAATTATCTTCACAATTTTAAAATCAGGGGGAAAAGAAAGTCTCCCAGTACAATATTCTTTATGCATTAAAGTCAGTAAAGCATAAGAATAAACTAGTGGAAAAATTAAGGTTGTGCAATGCTTTATTCCGCCAGCCTTTTGAGAATGGCCTGTTTATACAAATGTATAATCAGGCAAGTCAAATTATGGAGCCACTCTTTTTGGCTTTCTGTTTCAGCCAATGTTCAAACACATCAAAAGAAACGCAATCTGTGTGCAAAATATAATATAAGTCTAAAAAGTCTTCAAAGCTATGCCGTTCGCCTCCCCACTAATTCCTGAGTTCAGATTTTCTACTCAGCACATGCTACACCTCAGGCCCTGTGCACACTAGGAAACTTCCACTTATCGTTTGGATGTGGGTATACAAACAAGGCAATTTTTACCCCTTTGTCTCATTTTACCGCAGGTGACCGCCTACTTTAAAGATAAGAAAGTTGCGAAATTTTCCTAATGTGCGCAAGGGCTTATGCGATCTATGGAAAGTGTTGGTGTTGTATTTGTATGGGTTTTATGGCTCTTTCAATACTGCTAGATCGTCTATGAGACATAACCTCCAAATTCAACTTCAGTCTCCAAAAGGGACCATCTACCCAAGTGGGAGTGCAAAAATAAAAAATTGTAATCGTAATTGTTTTACGCTCCAATCAACACTGTTAAGATCATTTAGGAGGTGGGCTGCCTCTAACCTGCCTGTCAGGGCAAACCCGTACTGAGAGGGATACAACATCCCAACAGACAGACATACAGAGACCCACCCCATTATGGAATCAAACTCACTTCTTCTGCATGCAACAGCTAACCACCTAACCACTACACCACAGACCCTGGGTCACAGTGGGTGGAGAGTTCTTACAACTCCCTAATATGGAGTGCTCATTGTGGATGGGATCGGGTTGGGTTGGGTCTGGTCAGGGGCAATCGTCCCACTCGTCGCCTGAACGCGTTTGTTTTTGAGGTGATGTGTCGGGCCCGATTGACCAATGCCACGATAGCCGCTTTGCGCCCTCAATCTGGCTAACTAACCGCCCCAACCAGACCCGATCCCCCAATAGGTACCCCATATAAGAGTTCAAGAGCACTGAGAAGAGATAATAAAATTTGACATGTTGAGATTCCTTATCAGACCTGACAAAATATTACCACACTTAATCCCCAGCAATTTGCATTTATCTCCCAACTGAGAATAATTTTGAACCTTTGTTAGGTGCTGCTGAAGTAGCAAGAGCAAAATAAAGCATCTGAGAGTACTTGGAAAATTACCTCATTCTAAGTTTTTTTCAGAGTTTCCATAGATCTTGACATTGAATGAAATTAAAACACAGTCAACGATATTCATAAAATGAGAGCATAGTATTCTGTCCTATAAATTATAGTATAATGCTTGAATTTTGCTATGCACACACACACACAAACACACACACAAATCACATCTCTCCACATTTCAAATACACATATTATGTCAAACTATGTGAGTAGCTTTATGCCATTTGTAACCATGACACACTGAAGAGTTACAAAACCCAGTCAGTAAACAGTTCAGTAAGCTACTGAAGTTGGCAAAGGTTATATATATATATAGAAACAATTTCCGTTTAAATGAAAGATGAGACAAACGGAAGTGTTGATGAACAGAACAAAACGACTTAGGTGATCCTCACAACCTGTACAAAAATCAACAGTCACAAGATACGCCTCTCTGTCATTTCTTCTTTACTTTCTGGTTTAAGGCAATTCTGGAATTGGCTGGCGAGGATTTGCTTGAGGACGCTCCATTAGAGGAAGTACTGAGCAGTTTTGTGCTGGTTGTATTGCCACCGACCGTTGTCTTTGTAGCTGCAGTGGATGACTTGGATATGTTCTCACAGTTGCTCCCCTTTGGAGTAGGCGTTTTGCTCATTGGGCGTGGTGAGGGAGTATTCAGCTGGGAACTTCCTTTTGTCTTCTGAAGAGGAACAGCGTGAAAAATATAAAAGTTATGGTGAGTCTGGACGATTTAGAATACACGTATCAACGTGGACACTGCCAGTAAGAAATCTCTGGCACTGAAAAAAATCCAATCCAAACAAATAGAAAGCATTTTTGTATATCTATACACATTTGTATAAATGATATTTTCCTTCCATGAACAAAATCGACAAAGTTTAGATCATGTAGGAGAAGGGTAGTTTTGACCTAGCCTGTAGGGGGGGGGGAGTGAAATTTGAATTTCTAAAACATAAAACACATAACACACAATCATACATACACACACACACACACACACACACACACACACACACACACACACACAAGCAAATACAAACACACACACACACACACACACACACACACAAGCAAATACACAACCAGAACACACCAAAAAAAGAAAACAAGGAAGCAGGCACCAAGAAACATTTGAAGCCAAAATGACTTCAAATATATATTATAATTATAATGCTATGGTCAGTATGAAGCAGTTATGTCACTTGATTAGAAGACTAAGCTACATTGTCGGGCAAGCATCTCAAATCATGTAACAGTGAGATACACACTTCTGGAACGGAAACAAAAACAGCAAGAAATGAAGCATAGAAATGGATGGTTATCTACAGCTAGGAAATATGCCACAAAGCAAAATAGTGAAAAAAAGTTGTATAGATTTAATGCCCCTTTCAACGCTGTAAGGTTATTCAAGAGGCGGGACCTCCGAATTTAAAATCCGTCTCCGATGGCAACGAGCCAAATGGGAAAAATTTGTGTAAAGTGCCTTTCCTAGGGACACTAGTTCGGATCGAGCTTGAACCTTCGCAACCTAGGCTATCTTAGTACATGTACTAAGATAGCCTAGCCCTGAACCCATTATCTCACCATACCAAGTCCAGTAGACTACTGATGCCAGCCAAAGCAAAATTTTTTTTTACTATGTACAAGTACAAGTATTGGTCATATTAGTCAGAAACGTTCATCTGTAAGTCTTTCACTCCAGTTCATCTGCAAGTCTTTCACTCCAAAAGTCCATGAGCTGTGAGTATCAGAAGAGTTCTGTGCAATCAGGGAGCCGTCTTGGGCAATTTCAAACGCATTTATATTTGTGTCACGACATGGCGGAATCAGGCGCTTGTCAGTTTTGGGGCATATGGAGTTATTGGTATCATCTTAAAGCCTGTCCATTTGCCGTGCTTTCGGTGAAAAAAATATCAATTTATCTGGGATACAAGTCAAAATATTGGAAATTGAAGGAGATGGTTTCAGAAGTAAAATGGCTGCCAAAGTTGAGTTAGTTCCTTAGCTTGAGAGTCGGAGGACACTAAAATTTTACATCTTTTATGCCTTCAATCAACATTTTTCAGTAAAAATCAACACAGAAATATGTTCTTTAAAGGGCATGAAAGGTGTTGAGCCAAAAAAAGAAAATTCTATAAAAATTCCCCAACCTACGAAAAAAATGCCAGTTTCTTCTTGACTTTCATTATTTTGACGAGCCCCTGGTTTCACCACGCTGCCTCACATATTTTGTGTTAACGCAAGCTGGTGCTGGTGAAATCACAAAATTCTTCCAATCACCATCACTGCCTATCTCACCCTACATCAGGCTAAAGGCCTAAAACAAACCTTTTCCACGTTTCTTGATCCTTCGCTAGCCTGTCGACATTATTCCATGTCTTCCAATTTTTATGCACAACATCCTCTTTGACTCTTCTCCAGGTTCCATTTGGCCTTCCCTTTGATCTCTTGCCTCGTGGATTCCAATCAAACACATTCTTTGTAATCCGGTTCTCCCAATAAAGGATTAATAAAGTACATATTTACTTTCTCTTATTTACTTGTGACATTTCACAGAGATTTTTGTTGTAAAAATCCTCACACTCAACCAGCCAAAAGGTACACAGGTGAGTGCAATATCTACTCACATTTGGCTTGAGGAGGCCAGAGCTGGGAGACATACGGTTATAATCTCCAGCGCTTCCCTTCTTGCCACCGGAACCTTTCCTCTGCTCCTTCTATTAAAAAATTTAAGAAAAGAGACGAAAAAAAAAGGAAATTATAATAAATAACACCGTCTGCAAACCCCTCATCCTAAGCTGTTTTTTTTTATCTTACATTAAAAAATAATGGATCATTTACCATCTCCATTGACAAGGTCAACAGGACTTGCAAAGATGATCCTACAGGGCACTGCACTAGGAGGGAGAAGGAAAGGCAGACAAAAAAGGAGATGGGAAGACAACATAACGGAATGGACAGGTTTAAAGTTGGGTGAAGCCCTTCAAAAGGCTACAAATAGAGAAGGGTGGAGAAAAGTGGTTGCCTGATCATCCTCGGTGCCCCAACATTCATCTAGACTAAGGGATCAGTATATTAAAAGTAATTTGCATACATGAAAGCCAGCTTGGTTTGAAATTACTTTCACTTGACCATCTTGAATCGGAAAAGGAGGAAAGAGGGAGCAGTAGAGCAGTGACGTCACTATACGTGACGTGAGAACAAGACGGCTCACATTGAAACACCATTTGTCGCTACCCTAGAATTACAAAGTTCTATCTGCTCAGTAGGCTACCTAGTTTTGAGAATTTTGATGTTAATTAAAAAATGTTGAGTTTCTCAACATGTCAAGTTCTTTTGAAAGCAATTCTTTGAATATCTTTACGAATTTGATAAAGCTGGTGGAACATTTTGCTTTCTGACCTCATGGTCTCAGTAACTTAAAACAACCAAAAATGTCAGATAGAACATAGTAATTCTAAGGTAGAGATTTGTTGCAACTTTACTGAGAATAAAGTTGAATGACGAAGAGGTCAGTCAATTCTGTTCCAGCTGTGCTTACCCTGAACCCAACCATATAGCAGGAGATAAAATGAGGAATCTCTATTCTTTCCCTTCATTTTGAAAAGTAACTGCAAGGACTAAAATAAATATGGTTCCAGTATGTTCACTACTACTATACTACTATAACAGACTCCTGTTTAGTTGGAGCATCAGCATCATTCACGAGGTGAAAAGGTAAATAGAGGAAAATGAAGCAGAAAAAGAAAAAAATTGTTGACAATAAGATTCTCAAATTTTCAAAGGAAAAGTGATCAAATCTACGCTAAAATATT